AATTTTCATTTTCAACCACACATTTTTCAATAAAATAATATTTTCTATTACATCAATAACTTTTCCTTCTTTTTCAACCATACATTCTCCATCAATCTACTATTTCAAAATATATTTTTCAAAAATAATGTGGCTCAAACACATCCATTGGAAATGGTGATTCGATCAATGATATTTTTCAATCTCCTTGATAGTCGACCCCAGACGTTCTTCAATTCGAGGCATGTTCAAAGAGAAATGGAGTTTTTAGAGTGGAAGTTGAGATCTCAACGTTGTGCTTTTTTCGATCCAATTTTACTCTGGCCGAAGTCCTTGATAAGGCCTAATCTCATTTTCTGTCCAAATATTAACCCTTAGCTCTTAGGCTCGAGTAAGCCCCAATGGCCGAGCGCCATTCTCGGGTTGATCAGTCTCGACGATCAAGGCTCAAATAATTGGACAAAGACACGAGGGCACTGTGGAGCCTTTTGGTGGCTGGTGTGGATGATAATTATTTCAACACATGATACATCCCAATACAATTAGTCCATAGAGAAACGAACTTTATATTCTTTTTTAAAAAAAATCGACCATGTCCTTGAAATGATACGAATAAATAATTTTATTGATCAAGAAATGTTGGGTATCCGCTCATGGCCCAGCCGGACAAAGTAATCTAATCGAATGGTAATTATTTTGGTAGATTAAGGTGACATTTTCTTTGCGGGATTTGGCTAGTGTTGTCGAAATCTTTGCAAGTTTAAGATGTATTATAATATAAAAACTAAATATTATCAAATTTTCAAAAGGTGAAACACGTATATAACAGCAAAATAAATAAATCTAGATACTTATTAATTCATAATCTTAGATTTTCTTATTATCTAAATTAAGTTCCATTGATAAATGATAAACCTTTAAATCGATTTAAAACTTTTTGGACTTCCATGGTCCTTATGAGCAATGTGAAAATAATTTTTTTCAGCATGTAAACTTGAAATGAGCATAGAAGATAAGTGATTAATTAAAAAAATTAAAATATAATAGTTTAATTATAAAGAAGCTTGTTGCACGTACAGAAATGGAATTACCAGAAATGCAACAGACCACTCACACAAGGGTGGGACCCGCACATTTTTTTCTTTTTAAATACACTGTGGGACCCACATTTGTCTATTTTCTGATGGGATTCTGGCCNTTGTCTCTTTTCTGATGGGATTCTGGCCTCTTTTTTTTTTTAATGTACAAATGGTTTTTTTCAATTATAAAATATATGCCATGTTACCTAGGAATTATTAACAATTCATTTAAATTATTAAAGTTGAAATTGTGCATTCCACGTTCACTCTGTGGGACAGTGCAGAGTGCGGAGGCCACGAGAGAAATCGCACAAATGAAGATGATTCCAGCGGCCGACTTTCTAATCGCACGTCGCTGTCTGTCGCCATCTCCTAACAACAACTTGCCACATAGAGAGATTGAACATGCGCTGAGACATCGCATGCCATGACGTAATTTTCTAGTGACAAAAACTTTTTGAAATTATAAGTGGATGGATTTCATGTGTGATTAAAAAATAAATAAAAGTGAAGAATTCGATAAAATATATAGTTAAAAATAAAATTTGAACAACTTATAATACAAAAAAACTTAGTCAAATTGGGATAAATAATTAGCATTCATAATTTTAATATTCTTGGTATTCAATTTTTTAAGTTTTGAGATATGTTGATTAACGTTCACATCTATTATATATATACATTTTGAGAAATTCAAAAATACTTATTTTTATTTAATTATAAACACCTGCAAAATATATTCAAATATTGAGCGTGTTAGGTATTGATACTTCATCAAAGTAGCTAATAAGAGTATTTCACCTTAGTGAAATATGAGTCGTCTAACAATATAATGGGAGTTTAGTGATAACAAAAAGAGCGGTGTATATCAAGCTTGGGATAACTCGACCTATTTAAACATGGACAACTTACAAAAATGCCCTTAAAATTACAGCAAAGCCAATTGTACCGGAATTGGCTTTACCAAAGTGCTACATACACTCACATCCATGGACCCCATGGTAATAAAAAAATGACCCAAAAAATCGCACCCACCCCCCAATTGTGAGGTGCCGGTGGGGGTTTGGTCAACCCCCACCCGGTACAACAAGCACTGCTCTTAAAATTAAGGATTTTTTGAAAAATCATATGAAAAGTATTTTGAAAGTAAAAAATACTGTGTCACAATGTTTTTTTCTAAAATTAAGTATTACTTTTTTTTATTAAAAAATGACCTACAATCTCGCTTTTATTAAAAAGTGATAGGAAAAAGTAGCAAACAAAAAAGGCACAAAAATTCCAGAAAAGGTGATAAACAATCAAAAAGTGGCAAAATACTAATCAAAACCTTAGAATCAGTTTAATAAAATGGCAGGAATTAAAAAATTACAACTAAAAAAAGTGAAAAAACGTCAATCAAAACTTTAGAATCAATTCAATAAAGTGACATAAATTAAACAAAATGATAAAAATTCAATAAAGTGACAACACTAAAAAAAGTAACGAAATCCCGATCACTTTTTTTGGTGAATTGTATCACTTTTTAATAAAAGTGACATTGTATCACTTTTTTAATAAAAAATTAAGTGTAATGTAACTTTTAATACAACTTTTTAATAAAAAAAAATGACATATGATATCACTTTCATTAAAAAGTGAAGTCAAATACAATGTCACTTTTATTACAAAGTGATATTTGTCACTAAAAAAGTGAAATTAAAAAAAAGTAACAAACAATAAAAAAATGTGATAGAAAAAAGTGACGCGAATTCAAAAAAAGTGACAAACGTTCAGAAATCAAAGGAAAGAGCAGGTTGTCCATCACCATTCATAGCACACCAACACTTGAATCAAAATAAAAGTGATAGACGTCTTTAAAAAGTCTTTCACTCTAAAAGTCTGTAAATTTTCTCCACTTCTCTATAACTCGCAGCAAGTATGTGTGTGTGTTGGGGAGAAAACATGGGGGCTTTGGCTTTTCAATGGAGGAGGAGGTGGTGGTGGATTTCCATCATTTATTCCCAAGGAAATTCACAATATCAGAGATTAACAAGAACGGTTCAGAGAATTGGAGAGTTCTTGTGCAGATCTTTCAACTCCTAACCTACCCCCATTGCCATCAAATATTTACATACATTTTACATATGCATATATTTTGTAGATTAGATTTTCAGAAAATTGATTCCTAATAATTGTGCTCTTTCTTTTCGTTGCGTTTTTCTTTCTTTGTATAATTTTCTCCCATGGGCTGAAGCTATTTCTCATCTCCTATGTCTTTGTTCCATTAATACAGAATGGGAATCCTCTATTTTCATGTAGAAATATGATTAATTAAAAATATTGATGAATAAATTAGTAATTAAGGGTATTAATCAATTCTCTTGATTCTGGNAGTGAAGTCAAATACAATGTCACTTTTATTACAAAGTGATATTTGTCACTAAAAAAGTGAAATTAAAAAAAAGTAACAAACAATAAAAAAATGTGATAGAAAAAAGTGACGCGAATTCAAAAAAAGTGACAAACGTTCAGAAATCAAAGGGAAGAGCAGGTTGTCCATCACCATTCATAGCACACCAACACTTGAATCAAAATAAAAGTGATAGACGTCTTTAAAAAGTCTCTCACTCTAAAAGTCTGTAAATTTTCTCCACTTCTCTATATCTCGCAGCAAGTATGTGTGTGTGTTGGGGAGAAAACATGGGGGCTTTGGCTTTTCAATGGAGGAGGAGGAGGAGGAGGAGGAGGTGGTGGATTTCCATCATTTATTCCCAAGGAAATTCACAATATCAGAGATTAACAATAACGGTTCAGAGAATTGGAGAGTTCTTGTGCAGATCTTTCAACTCCTAACCTACCCCCATTGCCATCAAATATTTACATACATTTTACATATGCATATATTTTGTAGATTAGATTTTCAGAAAATTGATTCCTAATAATTGTGCTCTTTCTTTTCGTTGCGTTTTTCTTTCTTTGTATAATTTTCTCCCATGGGCTGAAGCTATTTCTCATCTCCTATGTCTTTGTTCCATTAATACAGAATGGGAATCCTCTATTTTCATGTAGAAATATGATTAATTAAAAATATTGATGAATAAATTAGTAATTAAGGGTATTAATCAATTCTCTTGATTCTGGACTGTATTTAGCCTAATTTCCTCTTTAAACATTAGATCAAAATGGCCCCGGCTCTTAGACTAATTCGATTTAGCGGTTTAAAATAGGCATAAATTGAACGTGATGCAAGCATATCAATTGATTTAATCTAATCAATTAGATAAGCTAATTATATTTTAGAAGAATCGTTTTTCCTTTTTAATAATTTGTCATCAAATAAAAGTAGACAAAAAAATAAGTATAAAATTAGAAACTCTTTTTATGAATAATGAACTCTCAAGCATCGTACTTAATTTATGTTAAGTACTGTGTTTAAACGACACACTACATTGGTGGATAGTTTGTTTGCCACCTAAATATAGTATTTAGAATAAATTAAACATAGTGTTTAGGGGCTCAAATTCACTTATTTTATTTTTTCGAAAAAAGAAAAAAAAAGAAGGTTTCAATCAATTTTTTCATCTTTTAACCATTCCTTTCATTATTCAAACAAGAAGCGGAAAATAAGACGGTCAAACAAAAAAGTCGTGAACTCTCCTCTTTTCATGCTTGTGGATATCTTAAATCCCAACCGTTAATCTCCCTCAGCTGCATATCCAACGTTCCACACTCTACTCACATCTCACATTGCCTACGCCTCATCTCACCTTATCAAAACTCCATCCCTCTTCACTAGCTGCCAAATGACAATCACATTTCCTCGGCTCATTTTCGCAGCTCCCACTCATCGATACATACACACATCTGTATCTATATAGATTGAGATAATTAAAAGGGATTTCGTACTGCTCCTCCCTAGGGTTTGGTCGTAACAATAATAACAAGAGACATCTTTAAATCGTCATGTATTTACCCACATACTGCTCATCATCATCGATACTGAGAGCTTGTAGAATCCGCACCGCTTCCACCTTATCTGCTTCTGCTCCTTCATTTTCATCTGTTGTCGCTTCTAGAACCTCAGCGAAGCGGGATTCGGTTCCTTTTTCTTCTCTCTCGAGTGTAAGTTTTCGATCGCGGAGCTTCTCCTCTTCGCTCCGATCATCTGCTCTCCGGTGGAGTCACGGTGTTGACTGGCGATCGCCTGTCAGTCTTAGAGCTCAGATCAGAACCGCTTCCCCTGTCCTCGAACGCTTAGAACGCAAGATCGCAACCATGGGTATAATTAGCTTCATTTTCTAATTGAATTATGATTAGTTAATGATTGAATCGTGATCTGTTTTCTTTTGTGCTATCTGAGTTGGTTTGAGTTTGATTTTTTTTCCCCTTTTGAGTAAATGTAGATTTATTGTTCATCTAATAGGTTTTTTTGGTTTGTGTGAGACTGCTATGTACTTGTACAGTGCTTATTGCTTGTTGTGAGATTTTGATTCATTGTTCTTTTGTTTATCTATCAACGTTTTAAAAACATAGTTCAACCAGTGGGTTGCATTTGAATATTTTGGGGAATGAATTCTTGACTTCAATTCAATTGACCTATGGTGGTGGTGCTTGCCTTTTAAGAGCAGATGATCATTCGTTGCCTACCTGCACACACTCATACACACCTGATCTGTTGGCTTTATATTATAGTCAAATTATGGAGCTCATGAACTTGTTGTGCAAATTGGTTTTCCAAAGCTTGCACATAGAATTATTCAACTATTACCTCCTGGGGTGATAATGAAGACATTTCTTTTTTGTGAAGTTTTAATTATGAACTATTTCTTTTTATTGTGTCAAACATTTTAAAGTGGAAGATAATGAATTGCTCTCTTTTGGGGTCCGGTCTTCGGAAATTGTAATTCTCACATTACAATGGACTGGCAAAGTTGATATTATTTTTCTTTTCAAATTTTAAATGAAAAAGCTGCATGTATTTTTATGTCTGAAAAAAAATTGACGAGGTAGGAATGCATGTAGAGATAATCTGGATTTCAATTGATTCTCTTGATGATGTATTTACATACTATTCTTCTTTGTTTCAATTTTGTAATTTCACTAGGGAAGTGATACAATTTTTATGTTAATGGAGATTAATAATCTGAGGTTGACCCTCCCCTCTCCACCTTATAATCTGTTATTTCTCTCTCTCTCTCTCTCTCTCTCTCTCTCTCTCTCTCACACACACACACACACACAATGGTGCCTTTTGATTATTGACTCTCTCTCTCACACACACACACACACACACAATGGTGCATTTTGATTATTGAAGTTGCTCCCAGCTTCCCCTGCCCTGTTGAAATGATACTTCCAATAATTATGCAATCACGGTTATCTTTCATTGCTTTATTGTGGTTTATGTTTTAATGAATATTTCCAATTCAAGCAGCTTCTGAAAATCCTTTCAAGGGAATTTTTACTGCTCTCCCCAAGCCCGGAGGAGGCGAGTTTGGAAAGTTTTACAGTCTTCCTGCTTTGAATGATCCTAGAATTGGTATGTGACTAATTTTTGCACCACTCGAATTCTACTGTCCTTTTTTCGTTTGTGTATGTATAACTGTAGACCAATTACACTTTATATTGACATTTCTCAGAGGAGTTTATTATGTCCAAGTTTTCAGTCCGTCTATTTCATCTCCTCTTCTAATTGATATCATGTGTTTTTGGCGTTGTTGGAAACATTTCAGGCCATTCATATTTCTAGATAATTTTTATCATAGAGTCTTGATGTTTATGTTTATATATTACTTCTACTCCAGAATGAATCTTACATTCCTTATCTGTGATACCCATTCTTGCAGACAAACTTCCATATTCAATTAGGATACTTTTAGAATCCGCTATACGAAATTGCGACAACTTCCAAGTTACCAAGGAAGATGTTCAAAAAATCATCGATTGGGAAAATTCTGCTCCCAAGCAAGTTGAAATTCCCTTTAAGCCAGCCCGTGTTTTGTTACAGGTGAGAGGTAGCTTGATGTTAAACTGATAGTTATAGAATAAATTTCTATCATCTTCCTGTAAAGCTTTTACTTTTCCGTAATAGGATTTTACTGGAGTTCCGGCTGTGGTTGACCTTGCTTCTATGCGGGATGCGATGAAGAACCTTGGCAGTGACCCTGACAAGATCAATCCCTTGGTACACTGCTTTTCCTCTGCAAAATAATATCCACGCAACGTGTTTTTGGTAGTAGCAAAAACTAATGCTTATAATATGTAAAGAAGAATAGTATCTAAGGTCACAGTGCATTTTGTTTTTGACTGGAAATAGCCAATATCGCGTGGATGAATTTCTTGAAGTAATTGTGTAAGAGGGAAGAAGAAAAATTGAGACTATGTTCAAGTATTTCCTTAAATTTTTCATGTTAAAGCATGGCACAATCTATTTTTAAGTGTCATACTTTATTGGATATCCTGATAAACCACCCTTCACATAATGTTTTCCTAGGGTGTGTTTGAGCCACATTATTTCGGAAGAATGTATTTTGGAATAGTAGATTGATGGAGAATGTGTGGTTGAAAAAGAAGGAAAAGTTATTGATGAGGTGAAAATATTATTTTATTGAAGAATGTGTAGTTGAAAATGAGTAGAAAAATGATAATGAAAATTTTAATGTGGCTCAAACAGTGGCCTAATATTGCCTAACGTGTGTTGTACAATAATGTTCTGTCCAGGTTCCTGTAGACCTTGTCATCGACCACTCTGTCCAGGTTGATTTTGCCAGATCAGAAAATGCTGTGCAGGCTAACATGGACATTGAATTCAAGAGAAACAAAGAGAGATTTGCTTTTCTTAAATGGGGATCCACTGCCTTCCGCAATATGCTTGTTGTTCCTCCTGGTTCTGGTATTGTCCATCAGGTACAATTTTGGCACCTTGATCGACAATGTTTCTCAGGTTCCAAATGTTTTCAATTTTTTTTTAGCCTGATATTACTGGTGGTAGATACTTTGTTGTGTAAACAACCTGGGGACTGTCATCTTTCGATATGTTTATAGATATACTTGTTTGATATTGATGAAATTGCTTTATTTTTCAGGTGAATCTGGAATATCTTGGACGAGTTGTTTTCAATACTGATGGTATTCTATACCCTGATAGTGTTGTCGGTACTGATTCTCATACAACCATGATTGATGGACTTGGTGTTGCTGGATGGGGGGTTGGAGGAATTGAAGCAGAAGCAACAATGCTTGGCCAGGTACCTTTGCCCTCCTTACTTAATGAATTTATTCTCAAACACTGAATCTTGCGTGACCATGGAGGAGTTGACAGGTTAGTCATTTATGATAGATTTCATTTCATTGTGAAGGGGGTCAATATGTCAGCAATATTTATGGTTTGACGTAGTGATGGTTCATTCACTTACGCATGATACCTTTCACATTGTCTCCTCTCTCTCTCTCTCTCTCTTTTTAATTAATTTCTTCTGGTTTCACATATTCACTTTGGACCTCCTGGAAGGATAGAAATATTAGACTACAATTTAGAATTTTTTGAATTCAAAGTGCCTTGAATTTGTTACTAATTTCTTTTCTTTCTCTAATTTGGTAGCCAATGAGCATGGTTCTGCCTGGTGTTGTTGGATTTAGGTTGTCTGGGAAATTGAACGATGGGGTTACTGCAACTGATTTGGTTTTAACTGTGACCCAAATGTTGAGAAAGCATGGTGTGGTTGGCAAGTTCGTTGAGTTTTATGGTAATGCTTCATCTTAACCACAATGCTTGAAAAGTCTATTAAGTTATAATTTTTCTTAATCTGTGTACATACGATGTGTGTAGGTGAAGGCATGAGCCAATTATCATTAGCAGATAGAGCAACGATTGCAAATATGTCTCCTGAGTATGGAGCTACCATGGGGTTCTTCCCGGTGGACCACGTCACTCTACAATATCTTCAATTAACTGGACGAAGTGACGAGACAGTAAGTTGATTAATTTTTTTAGTTATCCAGATTTTTCATGATTTACATGGAGCATGGTTATGACCATTGTTACTTCAACCTGGCTTAGATTGCAATGATTGAGGCATATTTACGGGCAAACAATATGTTTGTTGACTACAATGAGGTAAGTTATTTTCACTCATTTGTCTGCTACCCAAACGTCATGATTTTAGTCTTATCTTATCAGAAAAGCATGAGCTTTATTGCAATGATATTCATGATCTAGCTTCAACAAGAGAGGGTGTACTCATCTTATCTGGACTTAGATCTTGCCAATGTTGAGCCCTGTATTTCAGGACCAAAAAGGTATGTTATATGCTTATGAAGACCACTGAAGTTGTGATATCCATGTTTACAAACACAGTATGACAAGTTCTTGCTGCTCTAGGCCTCATGATCGCGTTCCTTTAAAAGATATGAAGGTTGATTGGCATTCATGTCTTGACAATAAAGTTGGATTCAAGGTAAGATGCAATGTGCTTTTGATGAATCCTTGTGCTCGCTTCATATGCTACTTTAAGCAAACCTAATTAAATTAGAACATCCATTCAAAAAATATTTTCTTCAAATAACTAGGTATATTGATTAGTTGAAAAGGAGAAGAGAGTGTTATTTCTATTTGTACTAAATGTTATCTTAAAGCTATACTTTTGACAAGGAGAAGACCTAGGTGGTGTTCTCAGTCAAAATCCTCTCTTTTCTCGGTGAAGAAATTCCCTTACATGGAAAGAACAATTATTTTCCTGTTTTAAAAGTTGGGCTTAACTTTAGACAAGATTGAAAATTCTCGTCTGTCGAAAGTTAAAGAGAGAAAAGCTGTCAGTCCCTGTTTGATGGCCGATGGCCAAAACAATGTTTTGAATAGCGAGTTTTGGGAGAATGCGTGGTTAAAAAATAAGGAAAAGTTTTGAATTTATGTGCAGAATATTCTATCGTGTGAATGTGGTTGAAAATGAATGTAGAAAAAAGAGTTTTCAAATAATGGTTGTCAAACAGGGGCTCAAGAAGATCAAAAACCCAATTGTAGCACTACTATATGCCTCTCCTGCCATGAACCCTTGCCGAACTATAACAGATGATTATCTTCTCAGACTATATTTTCTGAAAGTTTTATTTAGTCAGCTCCTATTAGATGCTTAATCATTATAGTATCAATTAGCTCACACTTGTCCTTTGTTTGTGTTTCATTTCCTTTTACTTAATTTTACTTTAAAAAGTCAAACATTAATTTCAACCACGCATTTCGTTGGACCCGCAAGTACTTCCCACTTATTCACCACTCATTTCTTGAAAAGTAGAACTTAAGGGAAAAAATGGCAAAACAAAGGCTTGTTTCTTCTTCCATTCATACTTTTCCTTTATTTTGCCTTTTTTTTTCATCCTCTAGAGAGCACGAGAATGAGATTAATACCCCTCGTCCTATGTTGAAGCAAAATTTGACAGACTTATTTTCTCATTCTCATTATGCCTCTGTAATTTATGTGATTTCTGACAAAAAAGGTGATGTGAATTTGATATGCCTTCGAGGTTCTGTAAGTCTGCAATCAATCTATCCTTCACCCCTCATAAAAAGGTGATCTGAAACAATAAATAATGCATTTTTGGGTCTCAAGCACATTTGGTCAATTTTGAATCAGGAACTCAATTACTGCAAAACTACATAATACCCCCGTCATTACTAAAAAGAAGAAAAATTGGGAAAATCAAATTTAGTGTTTCAAGAGATGCTAGTGTGCCATGGTAAGGATAAATAGTCAGTGTTTTGCTGCTTCTAGAGTTTGGATTCTCTCATAATTCTGTATTCAGATAATCTAAGATCTTTAGTTTGTCATTCCCATTTCATTGGCCCAACCACTTTAGTTTTAAGGCTGACTATTTGCATCAAGTGCAGCGTGTAAATAGAAGAATATATGCATGGTTGCTGGAGTTGTGTACACAAATTTATTGATCTTCATTAGTTTCTTTTATTTCACAATTTTGTGTTGGTTTGCGAGTTCATTGTAACCTTTCATCTGGATTTATGCAGGGATTTGCTGTACCAAAGGAAGAACAGGAGAAAGTTGTGAAGTTTACATACCATGGGCAACCTGCAGAACTTAAGCATGGAAGTGTTGTTATAGCAGCTATAACAAGTTGCACAAACACTTCAAACCCAAGTGTGATGCTTGGAGCGGGTCTTGTTGCTAAGAAGGCATGTGAATTGGGGTTGGAGGTTAGTTTCTCCTCTCACGATCTGGTGTTCAGTGTTACATGCAATTCTTTCTATTTATCTATCTGCAGCTATTCTGAGATATGATTTACCACTTGATTTACACTGAGTGCAAGATCATGCCAAGAGCTCAGCTTTCTCACGCAGTTATGATGATCATTGCATAGGTTAAACCATGGGTTAAAACAAGTCTTGCCCCAGGTTCCGGGGTGGTCACAAAATATTTGCTCCAGAGGTGATGATTAGGATTACTGGAATTTTTTGTTTTAAGATCATTTTCTCCCCTTTCCCTAAGGGAAACTACTTGATGTTAGTTGCTGATTTATTTTTTGATCCCTTGCAGCGGCCTGCAGAGTTACTTGAACCAACAAGGCTTCCACATCGTTGGCTATGGGTGCACAACATGTATTGGAAATTCTGGAGATCTTGATGAATCAGTTGCTTCTGCAATTACAGACAACGGTACTATTGATTACATATAATGCTTCCCATTCAGTGAACAATTTTTTATGCTTACATATAATGCTCGTTGAAAAAAAATAATTATGTCATGCATTTTGATGAGATTATTTTACCTTCTGCCTTTACTCTTGAGGCCAATATCCATCTCGCCCAACGAAACCTTGAAAAATCTGTTGGCATAACTCCATTTTACAATATTCAATCATCATTCTTTAGTTGTGTTCATGTACTTGACTAAGAGAACTTCAATTCATGAAAGCAGTTCTTGTGAGTATAATGGGAATAATAGGGGGAAAAAGAATTTTTCTGTCTACACGTTTACATTATTTGCCACAAACCCAGAACACCCAAATTCCCCCAGCCATGCAGGTTTAACATTTTTTAGACAATAGTTGATGTGGAGCTTCAATGTCTATAATGCATTTTTATACTTATCAGTCTTTTGCATGAAACCTTCTGATATGGTGCCATTCATATCTCTGTAACATGGTTCAAAGGTATTTTCCCCCCTTTTTAAATATGGTTTACAGAATAAAAATATGAACTTTCAGAAATAGTTTGAATGCAATCATAAACTTGAAAAATATTATGACTATTTGCTTTTGAAATCGTTTTAATAAATATTTAACTCTAGTAAAAGGAGATTTCAATATTTATTATTATTTCATAAGAGTGTTGTCTAAATTCTTATATTTCAGAATTATCCTCGTGTTTTTCCTGCACATCTTTGAAAACAAAACTTCTGAAGGTCAAGGGCTGTGGTGAAACGGTGGCATGCCTTGTGTGCATTATTTCATCAAGTTGCTTTTTATTTTATACAGTATACATTTTCCTTTCCAGACATTGTTGCTGCTGCAGTGCTCTCCGGAAATCGAAACTTTGAAGGCCGTGTTCATCCACTGACAAGAGCTAACTATCTTGCTTCACCTCCATTGGTTGTGGCCTATGCACTTGCTGGCACGGTATGTGTCTTTTAAGTTTTGGCAGGTCACCTTCCATTTTTCACTCGACGAACTTATGTAAGATGAAAATGATGTTGACGTTTATTCTTTAAAAGGGAATGGGTTTACGGATCATAACTGGAAATATAGTACTAATGGATTCTGATATGCACCGGTTCTGAGTCAGCAGTTAATTTGTAATCTAGCAAGTGATCAATCAATATATTAGAGGAAAGGTAGCACTCTATCAGCATGGGAAGAGGGAGCATTACTTTAAATTAAAAATCTTCTGGTTAGTTGGCTTTTGGCAGCGTTTGCAAGTGTTAATTGTCATTTTTTTGGGCAATGATATGCGTGTGGATCAAGCTTACTGGAGGACGGGATGGGTTACTAAAACTTCTCAGTGAATACTTTATTTGTCGACACAGTATTTCTTAAATTGAAAATCATTTGGTAGTCTATTTTCGGCAGTGTTTGCAGGTGTTGTCAATTTTTGGTTGTCATTTTTTGGTCAATTAGGTGTGGATCAAGCTTACAGGAGGACGGGATGAGTTGCTAAAACTTCTCTTTGAATACTTGATGTTCTCAACTTATCTTTGGATTCTCAGTTAATTTGGGTGTTCAGGTCCAATCTGTGAAGAGGGTTCTGTGGGAGGTTTTTTTTGCCCTTTTTGAGAAGAGTGAAGAGGATGATTGTTGGGGTGGGGGGGGTGGGGGTGGGGGTTGTCATTGAATCTTCTCTCTCAATTTTAAATTCATTTCTAGCAAGGACAGACTGCATAATTGCAAGTCTACTTGTATTCGTAGGTTGACATGACTTGTGTCTGTCTGATGCTGTGCTTTCTAGGTTGACATTGACTTTGAGAAAGAGCCGATTGGAACTGGCAAAGATGGAAAAAGTGTTTACTTCAAGGATGTCTGGCCTACCAGTGCAGAAATAGCAGAGGTAGCTGGGAGTTTCCTTGTCTAGTCTAATCTTGAACTGTGATATTCTCATATTCGTATTACGCAAAAATCAAAGTAAAAAAAAAAATAATAATAATAATGCTTGTGCAGGCTGTTCAATCTAGTGTGCTTCCTGATATGTTCAAGAGCACGTATGAAGCTATTACAAAGGGCAATCCAATCTGGAATCAGTTATCAGTACCTTCATCAAGTCTTTATTCATGGGATCCAAACTCAACATACATCCATAAGCCTCCATATTTCTGTGGCATGACAATGGACCCACCTGGTGCTCGTGGAGTGAAGGATGCTTATTGCTTGCTATTGTTTGGAGACAGTATCACTACAGATCATATCTCTCCTGCTGGTAGTATACATAAGGATAGTCCAGCTGCAAAATACTTGATGGAACGTGGGGTTGATAGGAAGGATTTTAATTCTTATGGTAGCCGTCGTGGCAACGATGAGGTGATGGCTAGAGGTACATTTGCCAATATCCGGATAGTAAATAAACTACTAAATGGAGAAGTGGGCCCAAAAACTATTCACATTCCAACAGGGGAGAAACTATATGTGTATGATGCAGCAATGGTAAGTTTCTGTGCTTTAGCATGCAACAAACACCCGCCCTCCCAGTGGGACAGCATGCACATGCACATGCACATAAAATAGTAGTTGACTTGTATAAGAAACTGACCCCTCTGCTGCTCATATTATTTCTTCTTCGCTGTCAATTATTTTCTGTTGTTAAACTATATTATTTTGTTCAGAGATACAAGTCAGCCGGGCAGGATACCATTGTTATTGCTGGAGCAGAGTATGGAAGTGGTAGCTCTCGTGACTGGGCTGCCAAGGGACCAATGCTACAGGTAAGTGGTATTCTGTAAAATTTGGTACATTTTTATGTGCAGTTGCTTTGTATTGTGAGACCAATATTTAAATCTCTCCTGTTTTGCTATTCCACATTATTAAATCAGGGTGTAAAAGCAGTTATTGCCAAAAGTTTTGAGAGAATTCATCGCAGTAACTTGGTCGGGATGGGCATAATTCCACTTTGCTTCAAGCCTGGTGAAGATGCAGACACGCTAGGTTTGACTGGTCATGAGTGTTACACTATAGACCTTCCAGCAAAAGTAAGTGATATAAGGCCGGGACAGGATATTACTGTGACGACAGATAATGGAAAAGCATTCACTTGTACCGTCCGCTTTGACACAGAGGTACAGGTCACGTTCCTTGTTTCATAATTATGTCTCCTTGTCATTTATGTGTTTCATGGAGATTTTCAATTAGAAATAATTTCAGGCAAACACATTTTCTGGTACAGTTGGGATGGATACCTTCGATGCAATTTATCAATTTTAATTCAGCTTCTATTGGAATGATGTCTGTTTGTGTGGAAAATCCCAGTGAACTGTGGTTGCTTAAGAGTGATCAACTGGCCTCAATGGTTTTGACAGATTAACTGATGGTCCAACAATTATTTTCTGTTAATCCGAAAATCAATAATTGAATGACAAACTATGAACTTGAACAAATGTATTATCAAATATTTTTTACTTCTTGAAGAATTAATTCTTTATAGACAAACTAGGAATAAGGAATGTAAAAACATATAAGGCATGGTCGGAACTGCTTCTAATTGCTTACAGTGTTATTTCTATTTCTTCTGCACAGGTTGAACTGACATACTTTGAGCAGGGAGGCATCCTTCAGTATGTCATTCGGAATCTAACAAAACAGTGAATTCTCTGAAGAAATAAGTCGGCTTGTTGTGAGGCCAATTTCGTCACCTTGCAGGTGTTTGTTGGGTTGTTTACATGGTGATAATTTGCTTTCTTGATATTGAGACGCTTACATAGCTATGCTTTTCCGCTTCCATGCTTGGTTTCAATAATAGCGGGAAATTGTATGTTCTTTTTTCCCATTTAGTCATTATGTTGGGGGTAAAAGAGTCTTGATGTGTACTTGCTCTTCACTCGGACAGCTAGGAAGGATGTTAGTTTACTGAATTTATTCTTCATTATCATATTGCTGTTTTTTCGAGTGAACCTATAGCCAAGAGTCGAGATACTCTGCAATAAGTGTCTCTGTAATTGACTCGTCTATATATGAGTGAACTTAACTTGCTATAGCCAAGACGAGAGAGATTCTACAATGGACGCATCCGAAAATTTTATCCCGTTTCCACTATGGGATCAGGAGAATGTATGCTCTTTAGCCTTCTCTCCACCGACACACCCTCCAATAATGTACAAGTAGAATTATCCATGTTTGATAGCCCACATTTTCCATGGAAAACGGAAAAAAAATTCCATTTCCGCCCGTAACTCGTTTGATAGACAAAATTGGGCATTGAAAATTTTTTCCCACCGGCCCACCCACTTGACTGAAAACTTTCCAAGGAATTTCTTTTCCCAAAATTTTTATGGGAAAATGGAATTCTAGCTTTTGACCAATTTTTTTTTTTTTTTTTAACTATGGAAATAAATCATAACCAATTGTAAAAAAAATTCAAACGAACACTAAATTCCGATGAAAAAATAGTTTTCGAAAAAAATTTCACTTTAATGGACAATTTAAATGTAAAATAAAGTCAAACGTGAATAAAAAATTTAAAATTTCAAAATTTTCTCAGGTGGAAAATTATACTAATCAAACACACTTAATTAACAATTTCTTGCAGAACAAGTTCTAGACAATTACTTTTCCTGAAATTCGTTTTCTTTCCATCCTTACAATCAAACGGATCATTAGTTCTTGTCCCTTTTCTTTATATTTTATTTCATTTTTATGTTTTTAATTTAGATTGTATTTAAAAAATTAAAAGTAATATTAAAAAATAAATAATTAAACAACATGGTAAATCTTCGGCCATGTATCAAGGTCTTGAAGAAACAAAAATATCCTATGCCATAGGAGATGACACGGTAGCATGCCAGACTCTCCGTGCGTTACTCCTTCTTTAACTGGGTGCTTTTATTCGTTCAATTAGAAGCCAAATTTCACCTGTTGCTTAAAAAAAAAAAAAAAAAATGAAAAACACACTTCAACATGTAAGATCGTTTCCCTCAGTCCCTAATGCATAAATCGGTCCCTTAACCTGTTATTTAGTCCTTGTTTGAGTCTTTTTTTTTTTTTATTAAAATGTATTTTTGAACAGCGATTTGATCATATTTCAACCACATTATTCAATAAAATAATATCATGCAAACTCAATTTTTTTTTTTTTTTTAACTACATATTCTCCATCATAACACTACTTCAAAAGTCGTTTTTCAATAAAAATAAAAATGGGGCTTGAACGAGTCCTAAGTTGTCAATTTTTGTAATTATGATGATTGTCATGAATAATGTTTCAACAAGCGCATCCTTGTAATCTTGAATCGCGCTACACTAATTTTTTATCAGATTGACACACGTCAACGCTGCATCGATCTGTTTTTTACCAACAGCCAATACAGTTAAGACACCTGGCTCCCTGGCATTTTTTCCTGGCAAAAGTCCCTGTACAAGTGGCTTAATTCTGTATTCTTACCGAGTGCAAAGATTTGCCCCATTTTAGGCAAGCACTAATGATATTCTCTTCTATCTGTCATTACCCATTCCCTCTCTACACGTCATTGATGATGTTTTGCATTCTTCTCTCTATTTGGCGCTAAGCGAGTATCTCTCTCTACAAATATTTTTCAGTAATGGATTGAAATTGATGGAAGTGTAGTCTTAGATATAAATCCAGAACTGCCAAAGTTTCTGGATCAACGTCTTCAACAATAGGGTCATCCAACACAACTTGCAGTATTGCTTCTTGTGGAACATCATAGCAAAGGCGACGGCCTCGGATCTACTATTATGCAATGTACTAGAACACCAGTTTATGTACCGTGTGTGGTATTAAATGATAAATCTTATTATGCCCCCATTTGGCCCCCATTTTGGGGTGTTGAAAAATTTTTAGAATAGTGATTGATGGGAGAATGTGTGGTTGAAACGAAGAGGGAGAAAAAATTAATGTAATGTAATGAAAAAAACAATGGGGCATTTAGTTGGATTTGTCATATGTTACCATCTAAACACGTGCTTAGAATTAGTGTTGATAAATAGCATTACTCATGAATAGAATTTGTTCTTAATGCCAAATCCAAGCCTTTTCACTTTTGAAGTGCTCCTCCTCACGTGAGGCTTTCATTAAATTCGTCAAAGCTTACGCCTCTAGTACCATTTTAAAATTAATGCATCAAATTAATGAGACGAAGCTAAGTAGAGCGCTGTTAAGGTATCCACTCGATTGTATTATCATTTTTGAATACCTACACACATAAGGGAAGGAAAGATAATCGAACATGAGCAGAATTTATATTGATTGTAACGATGATAAGAAAATCAAACGTTTTGATAATTTTACTTTGAACAGTCGGTTCGTCTACTCGATATATGTACCAAACTTCAAGAGAAATGAAATTTGGTCGGCCAAAACAGTCAAATTAGGTATGTATTGTTGAGGAGTGCAATAAAATTGTATATTTATATTTGGGTTAATTTCACAAATGGTCACTGAAGTTACATAAAAATAACAAAACGGTCACTGAAGTTTCAAAGTTTCAGAAATGGTCACTGAAATTTGAAATTTATTTCACAAACGGTCACTGAATTTTCAGATATTTTGGACAAGTTTGAGGCAATTTTTCGACAACGTCCGACCACCAAAATCATAGATTTCGGATACCGTTGGAAAGCCCACAATGTCCTCTTCAATTACCAAAAAAAATCTCCCCAAAACTCCAAGTGATTCAGCCGGAATAAACTCGCGAAGTCGGCACCCAAAAATTCTGAAAATCTGCTCAGATTTTCAGATTTTTTGGCCAAGTTTGCTGCATTTTTTCGACACCTTCCGACCACCAAAACCGTCGATTTCGGATACCGTTGGAAAGCCCACAATGTCCTCTTCAATTACCAAAAAACATCTCCCCAAAATTCCAAATGATTCGGCCGGAATAAACCCATGAAGTCAGCTACCACGAAAGTCCGAAAATCTGCCCAGTTTGGGTAGCTGACTTCGTGGGTTTATTCCGGCCGAATCACTTGGAGTTCTGGGATGGTTTTTTTTGATAATTGAAGAGGACATTGTGGGCTTTCCAACGGTATCAGAAATTGGCCATTTTGGTTGTCGGAAGTTGTCGAAAAAATGCCGCAAACTCGCATAAAAAATCTGAAAATCTGGGCAGATTTTCATAATTTTCGGGTGCCGACTTTGCGGGTTTATTCCGGCCGAATCACTTGGAAATTTGGGGAGATTTTTTTTGGTAATTGAAGAGGACATTGTGGGCTTTCCAACGGTATCCGAAATCTATGATTTTGGTGGTCGGAAGTTGTCGAAGAATTGCTTCTAACTTGCCTAAAAAATCTGAAAATTCAGTGACCGTTTGTGAAAGAAATTTCAAACTTCAGTGACCGTTTTGTTATTTTCATGTAACTTCAGTGACCATTTGTGAAATTAACCTATTTATATTTATTTCTTAATACCCAAATATATTTATATTGTTTCAAAAAGATTAGGCGCGTGCCACGTATTTACAAGAGCGCGTGAAAAAACAGGTCCGGCAAGCATTCTCCAGTCGTAATATTCGCAATATTATTTCTTTAATGTTCTGGATGTTTCCCGTACATGGGCCCACCTTCCTTACGCATCCCGCGTCCGAAATCAATTATTAATTCGTTGATCTATCTATCTCGTCAAAGAGTATGTATGGTTAAATCTGAGCCGTCGATTGTTTTCCTTCAATTGTAAGTGACCCTGGTTTAGAGTTAAAAAGTTTAAACCGTGGTTAGATCCACCGCTTTCCCCGTTTGCCTATAAAATAAACCCCTCCCCCACGATATTTTCTCATATTTCGGTTCTTGTAAGATTAAAAGAGTCCTAAGGTGCGTTCCTCTTAATTTCTCTCTCTTTTAATTTATTTCTTTTGTATTGGGTTGGATTAAATTGATAGTCTTCAAGCTAGATCTTGGGTTTTCTTTTTTAAAGGTTCATCTTGGGGTTTGATTTCATGTTGTGGCTGTGATTTTTTATTTTTTTTCAATTTATTAGTCAAATTCTTCAGTTTTCGTTTCTTGTTATCATCTGTGATCGATTTGCGTCTCCTGTCCTTGATGGGTTTTTGATTTTGTTAATTATTGAATATTTAAATCTTAATTGGGACTTTTGTTCTGGTTCGTAATAATCAGTGATCAATTTCTGACTTCTACTAGCTAATAATTGAAAATTTAAATCATAATAATTAAGATTTCGTTTCTTTTGATCATCTATAAATAATTTTTTACCTTCTATTCTTGATGGGTTTTTGATTTAGTTAATTATGGCAAATTTGTATCATAATAATTGGGATTTTGTTTCTTTTTATGATCTGTGATCAATTTCTGAATTTCTTGATGGGTTGTAGATTTAACTAATTAATTGAATATGTAGATCTTAGTTGGGATTTAATCACGATTCAGAACGTGCATATGATGAAAAAAAGGGGCTTGGTTATGGGTTTTCATATTTATTCTCTGCAACTTCATGGGTGTTTGCTTCGCCAATTCTTCTTTCAATTTAATACTATATATATTTTTGATAATTTTAATAATTTCTACGACAAATTTTATGCAGCTATTTGTGCAGTTACACGCCTGCCTCCGATCCCGTTTTCGCCCAACAAGTTACATGGTTGAGCTAGACATTCAAATTCCTACCACTTACGATCCATTTGCTGAGGCCAAAGATTCAGGTGCCCCCGGTGCAAAGGAGTATGTGCATATAAGGATACAGCAGAGGAATGGTAAGAAAAGCCTAACTACAGTCCAGGGGCTGAGGAAGGAGTTCAGCTACGAAAAGATCCTTAAAGACCTCAAGAAAGACTTCTGCTGCAACGGTAATGTCGTACAAGACAAAGAGCTGGGGAAGGTGATTCAGCTCCAGGGCGATCAGCGTAAGAATGTTTCTCAGTTTCTCGTTAGTGCAGGACTTGTGAAGAAGGATCAGATCAAGATTCATGGTTTCTAAGCATTCATAAATCCTGAATAATATCTAATATATTGTGTTCTATGAGTTGAGTGTGGTCAATAAAGAAGACTGTTGTTATATACTTGTGTGTGGATTGTGATCTTTGAGAACGATTGCATTGGGGTTTTCTGATTTTATTTATTTACACAACCCTTTGATCATCAGATCATGTCATGGGGTATCTAGTGGATTGTAATTGCATTCTCTCCTTTATTAATGAAGTTCATATCTATTTAGCTAAAAATGCCCTTTCTTATGCCTATGGTCGTGTTGCTCAAATTCCTATATCTGCCTTTCTATGTAGTAACAAACAATATTGAGCGTGTTTGTGTGATGAATGCATGTCATTTGTGGAGGTTTACGGGTCGGTCCATCGATTTTCCTTCTCTATTTTTTTTGATCAATCAAACCAAATTGTATAAGCTCCCTCTGAAGGATAATATTACTTGTATATAAGCAGTTACGCAAGTGGCGAGTCAGTAAAATATTTTGTAAAACATTTGGTACATCTAGGTTTATCCATAATTTTTTATGCTAAGTAGGCAAAAAAGTGTTTGTTGGGTAGTAGGTTGTACTTTAGGAATATTCCTTTGTTAATAAACAACAAAAAGAAAAAAAAAAGGAAAATGAAAACAGGAAAAAAAAAAAAATTAAAAAAGGAAAACAAATTCATTCACTAGAGCTTTCCCAGGACTTGATTATTTTTAGGAAATTCCTTGAGGATCTCAATGAGAGTAAAATTAGTGCGCGTCGGTGAATTCTTCAATCTTTAAAGTGTCGTTTGCATATTGTTGGGGCTTAACGATAAAATCGTAAAATCACACTTTACATAGGACCTGTCTGTTGCTGCTTTTCAGCAAAATTAAAGCCGTTGACAGCATAAATAAATCTGCTGGAACCGCAAATGTGGACTGCTTCTCTCACAGTGGGAATATTGGTTTGAAAAAAGGGTCAAATAATCAATTGTTTGATTAAAAAAAATGGCGTCCTGACACCCCCATAATAAGAATCACACAAATTGCCCCCAGGGCAAATCTCCCAGTGGCAAAGGGGATGGCGGTTAGGGCTCAGCGCGGTAGTGTGCAGAGTTCGATTCCCCGCAAGGTGGAATTGGCTTTGTTGCAAGCGGGAGTTATCATAGGGTTAATAGCCCAAACCTATCCATAAGCTCTCCACCCTGGCTCTTGGGAGGCACATCCTTCGATTTGCCTCCTCCACAATGGCCCAGGACAGGGTCGGTGGGGGCCCTCAAGGTTGGGTAACCTTTTAAGAATCACACAAATTATATAATAGATGGATAGGAGTTGTGTATGAATTCATTTCGAAAGGAAGTTTGGACAATCACTTGTTGACAAATAGGTTGTACTGGAAAACTTTACTTTGCCGGCATGGCTTCTTAATGTTTCTTAATTTAATGTCATTAGTCTTGTAATTTACACCAAATGAGTAACAATTTAATTATGTCAACCATGTCGTACGAAAATAACAAAAATATTCTTATATATTGAAAAGTACTTTGCCGGAGTCTCTTTGTACAACTTTCATATTCTAATATATAAAAAATAAAGATCATGGAATAACAATTTTTTGGTTGCTGCATTAGTTATATTGTCACGTTCAAAAATTAAAATGTGGTTTTACTCTTGTGCTCCCCCTATCATGTATCTAATTTAAGGGTGTTTGATCGATATTATTGAAAAAAGAATATATTTTAAATAGTGATATGATGTAAAATATGTGGTTAAAAAGTTAGGAAAAGTTATTGATGTGATGAAAAATATTATTTTATTAAAAATACGTGATTAAAAATGAATTTTAAAAGAATATGTGTCAAATACGGACTTAAAAAGTCACCGAAACGTATAGGAAACAATTAGACAATTTCCAAAGTCGTGGGACCCACGTACCTTACCTATCCATTTTCATGAAAACAATGTTCCCAGCCCACTTGCGATAATTGAACTTTCTTATCCACAAATATTTTTAGTTTCCAATATTGCCCTTCAACTTGGGTGTTGGGTGGAATAGTTTTTCATAATTTTGCTGAAGACGGCACGTGCACAACGTGAAATATTGCATTCGCCATGAATTTATCAAATCACTCAACAAATCTCTGGATAAAAAGGAAAAGAATGCATGGAAAATTATAGATGATTTCGCAAACATCGGCATGTCTAACGACTAACACGAATACATTGAGCCCCCCAATCAAATTGTTCGCGCTCTATAACTACTAAAGTAATGTCGCGCCATGTAATCGCGTAGTTGCTGCCATGGCATGTCTTCTTCAATTATTGCATCTAGCTCAGCGGCAATTTCATCTTCTTCATCAAGTAGATCTATGTCGACTTCGTCGTCATCTAATTCTTCGACTCTACGAAAACCCTCATCCAGCCGACCGTTTCTCCTAAAAGTTATGTGTACCCATTGTGGCCACGACCACTACTGTTTGCGCTCTCATATTATACGCAAGCATTTGGTCAACGATCTTCCATCTTTGTTTCCAAACACCGAACGCACACTCAATAACGTTACGACATGAGGAGTGATGGAAATTGAACCGCTCCCGTGCATTTTGGAACCGATGACGATAGTTTTTCCTTTGCGTTACCGAATTCTTGAAAATAATATTTGATATCGAGCCCTTATATGGAGCCATATACCCAAGCCCGTGTGCGAAACCAGAGTCAACCAGATAATATTTTTCGTTTGCGGGTTGTGAAAAATTGATTTCCTCACTATGTACAACACGGGCTAATATGTGGCTATCGTGGGTGTTCCTGACAACACGAATGTAAAACAGATATTGAAATCATAGGCGGCCAGTACATTCTGGGTTGGAATCCCCTTTTTCCCAATGTAATTCTCTCTTATATTCCGTGGCAGCACGGCTTGCATATGGGTTCCGTCGATCGCACCAATGCAATCCTGTAATTTCAAAAAGTTAACACAACTTGGAAGTCATTAGCACTGTTACAATCGTACCATCAGTCACGTTACGAAAATAACCTGGAATAGGGGATATCGTCCCACATATGGATGATGGTGAGCTACGCCTTCGTTGTAACGTGGATCTGGTTAAATCATGTTTGCCGCGAAAGCCACGCATGCACGCAGGACCGTCTTAAAGTAATGGTTGATCGCCTGCAACGAATGACCGAACAGCTTTAGCACTTGCCGATATCATTTGCCATGTGCTAGAATACACAAGAACATTCCAACTTGTTCGTATATGTCAATGTTCGCACTACTAAAAATGCCGTACTCATTGCGAAGGACGTGCGTAAAGTACATAAACATTAGAGGGTTCATCCTAAACTCCTGGAAACACGTTGTCGGGAATAAATATAGACGTGCTCTATTAGGTGCCAAGTACTAGCGAACAATTCGCTCATCGATTCTAAGTACTGAAGCCACGTGTTAATGTCATCTTTCAACTGCTGCATCAAATCTTCATCTTCGCTCGTACCTAAATCAGACATCGATTCAACATCGCAGTTTGTTTCTGAAGATGAGTACACATCCGACGTATCTGACATCGTTTCGAACTTATTTCTGTTATGTAGAAAGTTCAAATGTTCAGTTCGAATATTTGTGGCTAATTGAAGGTCTTACGAACACTGATAAGGCTTCAAGAGTTTTTGGAAAAATAATTTGCTCTACGTAGGGAGTCATGAAATAATGTTGTTCTCATGCATTTGCTATTTATACATCTGAAACTACGAGAGCAATAATTTGATGCAAATTATTGATGTTGAAAAATTGATTTGTCCTTTTTTGTTTTACTCAGCCAATGGGGATGCTTACTATCAAATTAAAGATGCAAAGAATATATTCCATGCACCATTATTTTGATGAACAAGTTCAGGAACAGAAGTGGGAGTAATAATGTTGATTTGGAAAACATATAAAATTTTATGTACGCATGCATAATTTTCAAATCAGGATGCAGGGATTATATTCCGTGCGGTGCATGTACGATCACTGCCTCACTATTTCAAAGAACCAGTCCGTTGCCAAATTAGTGGTATCGAACTAAAACTACGTATTAGAACACAAATTTGAAGTTATTGATAAGTGTGTTTTTGCACACTTATTTAATACTTAAATATACTTATTATTGATAAAAATAAGCAAATTTCTACTCACAATTATGTAATTATTGCGTTTGTATGTAAAAATCACCAAAAGGAAAGAGAACAAGACAAAATGAGAAAAATGGACTAAAAGTGTGCAAGATTATGAAGTCGGGACCAAGTTGCACAAGTGCCGAAAGTTGGAGGACATTGTAAATCAATTTATGGAGGGCAATATTGAAATGAAAATCAAAATTCGAGAACCAAATTGTATAACATCATAGTTGAAGGACTAACTATGCAAATTATCCCGAGAACCTCCTGTACAATTTGTGATTTCAACAAAAGTGTGCACCCGCGCACTTGCGCGTTAAAAATTCCGAAAAATCAGAAATCTTGAGGGCGTTTTGGACTTTTGTTTGTGCTCGATTTTGGGAGTATTTAAAGATCAAATCTCATAACTCAAACCCTAGAGAGAGTTCATAGAGAGTTGTTTGAGTTTTTCTCTTTTGCTTTTATTCTATTTTCTTTATTTTCTTTCTCTTCTTTCTTTCTTCTTTCATTTTCTCTCTCTTTTTTTTTTAACTTGATATTTTGGAGCAATCAAGAGCATAAAAAAGGAGATGCATCAAAGTGGTGAAGAAGTACTTGGAGAAATCAAGCAAAGCTTCAATAGAGTTTTATCTATACCTTTGATGTTTCTCAATTTTCTTCCATATTTGTAATGTATTTGATATATATTTTCCTTTGTTATCATATATATAAAATGGGCTAATTGATTGTGTTGGGATTTGTGGAATTAGTTTGACTTAACCTTGATTAATTTCTATATTTGCCCTTTGATTTTAAGTTACTTATTTTCATGTGTTTCTACTATTATTTTCCATGCATTTTCATTTATGTGGCCAATAGATGATTGTGTTTAGTGATTTGTACATCGTTCGAGAGAAGATTGTGCATTTTAGACCAAATAGTAGAAACTCTAGGTTTGTATAATGGATAGAGATATACCATTAGCCCTAGGTGACCCAATAGGTTATTTTTACAATGATTGAATGCGATTATTTGTTTGTAATCGACATAGAGATATAGTAGGTTAAACCAATCAATTTGGGTTAATTTCACTCGAGAGAGGTAAGTAACTAAAATTGGAAGATCGGGTCTAACATCAGAATTAAGTAATTCGTTAATTGGTATATAGAGATATTAAACGAAACCACGAATCTCAACCACGTTATTCCTTCAAAATTTCCAAGTATTTGTGCTTTTCTTATTTTGTAGAGTTTTAGTTCATTTACCGCTTTTTAAATCTCATGTTTAATTGTGTGTGTTTCATCATTTGCTTATTAGAATTAAATTGATTAAAGTCGTGTAATCTAAAGTAACATTCCTCGAGGGATCCACAACCCGGACTCAAAAAGTTCACTTTATTACTTGTACGCGACCTGTGCACTTGCGGTATATTTTCAAGCGAACGGTTACTATCAAACATCAAGTTACAAATAAAAGGATAATTAAACACGAGTCCAGTATACATAATATCGTACGGCGAAAATGGAAAAAAGCATTAAAACTCATTGCAAACATCCGAATGGAGCGCTCACCCCTTACGGTTAATGGATAGACTGTCACGCTCGAAACAGTACTCGATGAACTCAAATCTCGAATAAGGTGTCTTGGCAGCACAGTACGACTTACAATTTTCTTTATCCCGTAGGAACCACAGCGTGAAGAGGTGGAGCCGATCACCTTCCTGCACATGCCCAGACGACAGCGATTCGTCGACGCACTAGCCGATTGACATTCTCCCCTTATGATGGGATCGCGCAACTGAGGCAAGATCCTTTCCAACACTAACCAACTGCTCAAGTGATGCTGAAATCACTTGGGCACCATACATTTTCTTCTTTCCTTTCCCCTTCCTGTGTTTGTTTTTTCTTTTATCCCCACTATGGTGTCTAGACATTTTCATGGAGGAGTTAGCTCGAGATTTGACTGGGTTGTCGCTAGAATCCATTGCCTCCGCGTTAATGGAGAACTTGTCACATCCGTACTAACTGTCGCTATCTGTGCCAAATTCAAAACCACGATGTGATAGCTTCGTTGGGGACAACGCATATTTGATCCAATAGCCGGTGTCCCCGAACAATCGGCCATATGTGTCATAGATCTCACTGCAGTTGAAGTTTATGTACTTCGCATACTTTGAGTTCTCCTGCATAAATGAGGTAGATGACAAATTATGTTAGAATGTGAAAGAAGTACTCCCTGGTACATTTACGTGTATCTATGGGTTCTGTGGATTAAAGAAGAATGGGAAGGCAAGCAAAACATACATCTGATACAACTGGTTCCTACATATATCACAGAATTGGAAGATGCAATTTTTTGGTCATTCATCATGTTCAATCAATACCGACACAACGAACATCATCGTCAATAAGTAATAACAACTAAAAAATGTGAAACTCAAGATGTGAAAATTATTCCCAGTAACAGAATTGGATCGAGTCCTGTGTGAAATTTTTTACTGTCCAATAGTTCAGGACCGAATGGTGCAGACTGAAGTGAACGAATTCGATACCTTAATTTTTGTTTCCCACCAATGGTCTGGGGTGTGAATTCTTTTGGTACCAAAGTGGTACTCAATTCCAGTGTATCACAACAGTGTTTGTGTTCTGTTCGCAGTTTATTCCAATAGTTCTTCATCTACGACGTAGTTCATTCCTTTCCCATCGAGGCGTTGAATATGTCTGCTGTACAATGCCATCCTTTTGGGGAGAAGTATTTGCCTTGTCGGTGCCTTTCAGCAATGATAAGTTCGCAGGTGTCATGAATACTTTGTGCTCTGACTGGTTCCACTTTACCGTCTAACGCACCATGCCCTGGGGTGCCTATGACTTGGGAAGAAGCAGAGTGCAGCTGGTCAGGGCTCCCACTTGTGAACCACTGCCATGGGAAAGACGGGTTAAGAGTTATGCGATATTGGTGGAAACGAATTAAAGAAGAACGCAAAATCAGTGTCGGTCCAAAATTACAAGTAGAAGTACCAATGGTGGGCATGCGAAAAAAGTAGTGAAATCCTGGAAATTTGAATTCTACCAATGTCCATAAAGTGACAGTTCCTTGTATATTTGTAGCAAATGTACACAATAAATTCGTCGGAAACTCTCGAATGAAAAATGACTTATCATTTGGTCTGGTGAACAGTGCCATCGGGAGTAGTCGTTATCCATTGTAGCCGATGACAATTTTGTACAAGCCTCCGGATCTGTAGGCAGAGAATGCTCAGGATCGAAGTCGGCAACAAAGAAGATGAGAGAATAATCCATTATCTCCACAAAACCGGTAGACTATCCGGTGGAAAAAGTGTTGGGTCTTCACCGTAGAGAATGAAATGTTGGCATCTTTCTATTTGATTTCCAAATGCCTTCCGATTTTTCCCCTTGAATTGGTCCAGAAAATAATTCCCCGTGAGTTGGCGCTATACATACACTAACATAATACCCCGTGAGCTGGTGCTCCCCATCACCACTAATATAAGGATCTACATAATGGACACCTGGCGCTCTTTCATTGGAGGGAGGGTTGATGGGGTCGGCACTCTCTCCAATGAGAGGGTGCCGGGTGTCCATTATGGATACCTTGATGTACAAGGTGATGTACAACAAGAATTATTCTAGGTTGAAAAGGGTGAGGAAAATTGTGTGAAATTACAATTACAAAGGGAGGGCAAAAAGGGAAAGCAGATACACCGGGAATAATGTAATTAAAGTGGGATTCTAACACAATTCCTTGACTTTGGTGGGTGTTGTTTGATTTCACCATTAGAAAATTAGTTTTTCACACAAAAAAAAAAAAAAA